CACGAAGAATATTAAGAAAAACAATAAGTTTNATAATATATACTATCAGCCATAGTTAGCTTTGCTGTTGCAACTTACTTTCTGACTAAAGTTAAGAATTAGTTAACATTTTAAATATGATCCATTTCTCTGCTAAATATGTTATCACTGTTCTTTAAAAAATAAAAATAAGAACATCCTTTCTAAAGAATCTTCTGTGTACAAAGCAATTAAGAAAAAACTTAAGGCGCGGAATTCTTAGAAAGTTTAAAAGTCCAATAAAAAAAAGATTATATTTTTTTTAAGGAAAAAATGTTTTCAGTTACATACAAAATTTTCTTTTTCCCCCCTTCAAGCTGCGAATTTAACAGAAATTACCCCTGACATGTTTGTGGAAATAAAACTTAATTAGTGCTTTCAAGAAAAGGCTTTATCGATTTTCTCTTGAAAATTCCTGTAATTCCTTAAAGAGATGTATCACCAGTAATTGCTTTATAAATCGAAATTGAAGGCTTATAATCAAAATTCTAAAAATAAAACTTTTACCAACTATTTTTATCTTTGAACTTTTTCTGAAGTAAAAGTTGCCTTGGAGATGTTTTTATAAATTATTTCGTCCAGAAAAAGTAAAAATACCCGCGGTTTGAATACCAAATAACCAAAAGCGAAGCTTTAATTTTAAACCTTACACATTATCTTGGTGAAAAGGATTAATCGTGTGGGTTTTAACGTGGACAAATATTTTCAAATATTTGAAAAAGTATTAAACTTTCACTTAAAAAATCATCAATTTAGCATTATTCTCCAACCTCCCTTCCCTAATTTGAACCAATCAATATGTCAAAATCAATGGATAATTCTTAATTTTAAGGAGAGTAAGAAATTATGATCGCATTTTTGCGGTCATTGGTTACATTTGTCATAGGTTTTTCTTTTCTGTGAAGACTTTTATAAATGCCACAGAATTGCAAGTCCTGGGTTAAAAAATTGCATCAATTGGATATTTGCAACGAATTTCATCGTTGTGTTTAAAATCACGTAGTTGTACATGGTGTATTAACTATTTACAGCTTGAAGGCTTGGGTTTATTATCCCGCTGAATCAATTTTTAGATCAGATTTAATTGGATACCTTCAAGCGACGTCCCTCGTCTGCGTCGAACCTAATTCGTTGACAAACGCTTGACGTTGCTCACAAGTATACAATTGCCCTCTAGCCGTTCAATGGTTTAGATTGATTTTCAATTCCAGCCAATGTAACACACGCTTCTTAAGACGTTACAAAATTCATTTCCTTCCTCAGAATTCATATTTTCATTAAAATCTCCTCTAAGACAGTGATTGGGAATAAGTCAATAGCAAAAAGTTCATAAAATACTTTAAATCAATAATGCTTGGAAATATTAAAAATGAATGAAGGTTGAAATAGAAAGAAAAAACTCAGACTGGAGAATAATCAACAAGATATTCCAAATTTATCGTCTGCTTTTTTTTACTTGATCTTATTGTTCTACCTTTTTATTAATACTTACGTTAACCCGATCTTTAATGCTACAACTCTTTATTTGCGATTATAGTGAGGAAATTTATTTAGTCACTGAAGAAGGTCTAGTCGAAGTGTGCGGACACTGAAAATCTAGAACACTCATTATCCCAATAGATAAAGCATTTAGAACAGCACCCATTATACCAATAGTTAAAAAATATCGGAATGACTTTTCATTTTCACAAAACTATGGTTTTTCATCATACTGACATTTTAACTCATTTCGTTATGCAAAACAGAAAGCTGTTGAGCAAAACTAAATCTAGCCATTAAGAACAAGTGCTGAAAAATGACAGCAAGTATTATAACAGCGTATTTTTCTCTAAATAGCGTTATTTCATATAACAAAAATTCTTTGAAGAATAACTAGAGTCATCTTTATCAAACTCCTCTTAGATATTAGATTAAATTTTTGATTTTCATTTGATCGACGTTTGTAAGAAACATTTAATGATAGATTATCAATCAATAACAGTTATCCCTAAAGTGGAAAATTAAGGTATTGCTTTAATAAATAAGAAGAAAAAGCCCTTTATACTTTTTTGAATGAAAATTTTCTCTGCGATATAATTATATTATACCGTAAATGCGGTATAATAATACTACAATGAAATTATGCGGTTAACTTTTCGACGAAGAATTTTTACTAAACATATTTCTCCCACAATTTTTAAATTATATTTTACAATAATTTAGATCAAAATAAATATAAAAAAATACTTAGCATTTTAATAATTTATGATCACTATTAAACACCGGTGTCTTTTTCTGCGTTAAAGGTAAAATCATTAAAATACAACTTCCTTTCAAACAATATATTTTTCATTTGCACTTATTCGCAGTTATTTAGATCTAAGAAAAGTAATAATTCCTTATTGAAATTTTTTTAATTTACAAAATCAATTATAGATAAATGTTTGAATATAAAACTCTCAACTTTTTTCTCAAGCTACTTTTTATTTGATTTTATATTTTAGTGCAAATGTAAATCCGATAATCTAACAGATTTTTTTCAAGGAACTGTAAGACTGGTTTTTTATAAATAAAATATATCAAACTATATTTTCGCGTGTTTGAGAGTAACAGAAAAGAATACAAGTATATAAAGCTGACACCGGCGTTCCATCTGTGTCAAAAGGTTAATAAATTTTAAATTATTTCAATACTGTGTATATATATTTAAATTATTTCAATACTGTGTATATATATTTAAATTATTTCAATACTGTGTATTTGTCTGTTTTTTATATTATTTACAGTTTACTTTTTATATAAGTTACAGAAATCAGTACACTCCTAGATTTCTGTTTTTTAGCTAACCTTTCACAAAGTAAAATAGATATAATTCAACAAGTGCTGACATTTGTTGTAGTCATTATCAAGTAATCCGACAATCGAAAATTTACTCTCTCATTTGCATTTTTAAAGATTTGTAAACTCTTCAAAATTTTGCTCCGTTAGCATTGAATGCCAAAAATTAGCCCTTTTAGTTTGGAAAAAAGTATTTTGAATAGAATTCAAAATAACCACTCGTCACGTGGCTAGTTAACAAAAAAAGTAGCGCCTTAAATTAAATAAGCAACCAGTCACTTTTTGCTATCGCTTTCTTAAAAAAAATTATTTAATGATAAAAGTACACCAAAGTAGAAAGAAACTCTTGAAAACAGAATTTTTATTAAAATGTCCAATGCACCTATCAAAATTTTGATCCTTCAGAATTCCTCAATTTGTGTTTGAAAGATTCATATGGAAAGAGAGTTCCTTAACAATTTGCATAATTAAAAGTTGTAATGCATACATTAAATTTGTTTTGCTTTAAAAATATTTTTACTTACAGTTCTTTAAAGTCAGTACATTTAATCAAATTTTGTCACACATTTATATTATTTTTATTGTTGAATTAACTTTTTATAGCCCTAGATTACTTCCAATAGGAGATTTTTTTTAAAAATAAAATTTAATCCAAGCACAAAAAAAGTTTGAAAAAGCGTCTATTAATTAAGAAAGGACGTATCAACATGAGTCACCGTCTCATTAAGTTGGAAAAGTGGATACTAAGACATTCGAGTCTATCGGCCATTGGCTACTAACTGAGAATTTAAATTTTCAGGTCTAATTTTAATGTAATTTTATTAAGTTTTGCTTTGATTTATGTTAAATCGTGACAGTAGATAGATTTTTGAATTTACTTAAATTTTAATGTGAATTAAATTGAAACTTAAACGTTGATCTTGCAGTTATAAGATCTGATTCATCTTCACTCCTTTCAAGAACTTCTCATCGAAAGTTAGAAAAATTTCAATGAGAACTGGCTATTAAGTTTTGGGAAATAATGTCCAACTCCAAAAATAGTGCTTTCGAAAAAACTATATTTTTCTGTCTTCCCTTCCTTTCTATTGCCTATTCTATTTTAAAATTATAAATTTTTTGAAATTTTAAAACATAAGTGACATTTTTAGAAATTTAAAAGCTCGTATAAAATATCGCTCATTTAAAAGCTCGTATAAAATAAAAGATATCGAATTACACAGATTAATTATTCTTATAATATATACTTCTAAATATTAAAAAGTACCTAAATGCTTTTTTCGAAAAATTTATAATTACAAAATTGTATCATACGTTTTATATTTTTTGTTGCATGTTTAAAATTTGAATGCAAATTTCAGTTCAATAAATGCAATACAGATCTAGTTCACAAAATTTATTTTCGATGTTACTATTTCACTTTACTTTTTTCAAAACTTAAATATTTTAATACGCAATACTTTAATTGCAATAGAAATTCGACCAAAAATATTTAATTAATAATAAAAACATACTTCGAAAAAATGACCAAAAATAAAAAACTATTAAAATATGCAATGTTAAATGAAAGAATGCAGCTAATGCATCAAAATATAACTGTGAAGCTCAGCTCTAGCTCTTTGTATTCTTATTCTAAAAAGCATATAATAGCAGCTGAAATAATATTTCTTTTACGTGAACTAATGAACCCCTTAAACAAAACATAGTAGAATTTTTTCGGCAGCTATTTTTCACATTTACATTAATCAAATATGCCTTTCTCAGCTTCTTCAGAAAATTGTCTAATTATTTCAAAGTAAACAAAGTTCCCTGAAATTCTAAATAAAAAAAAGTCACTCTTCGCAGGAGAAATTCCCGTAATCGTGTCTCTTTCCTAGTCCAGATTACAAACGAAACAAAACTTAACATCAACAGTAAAAAAAAAAGATAAAAAGAAAGAAAAAAGAGCAATCATGACGTTAGTACGTTTTTCTTTTTATTTTATTCCAACATCACCTTCCTCTCCCTTTCAACGGAGGATGGGGAGGAAAAAGAAAGATCGTCTTTTTGTCCATCCCTGCTCCTCCGCATCATTTATAAATGACGTCACATCACGTGAGTTTCCTCTTTCTCCAGTCCCTGCCTTTAACTTTCGTCTCGTGACGTCAAAGGTGACGTAACAGACCCGCGCGATGCTATAAATAAGACATCTTTCCGTCTCTCGGATTCAATCACTATTTAATCCAGTCTTCCGAGGAAGCGGGACAGAAAGCGATGGTAATTAGAGAACTACAGATGACGAGAGTTATTTTTTAGACGGTCCCGTTATAAAGCGTGTTCTAGAGCTTACTTTGTACTAGTTTATACTTCAAATAGCCAAACGGACATTAACATGACACCAGTGTCGGACTTTAGGAAAATGTCACTTTTGCCCGATATGTTATCCGTTGCTAGAAGCCAATCTGATACGTCCTATGATGGATTAGCAACAGCTCTTTTGCAAAAAAGAGGAAGGCGATGCAGTGAATGGGTTGGCAAAGACGACAGAAAAATGATTTTGAGACCACTGCAACTGAATGGTGGTGACCACAGAGAGCACAATGGTCTCCTCTACAGGAGACTGTCCAGAGCTTCGCCCAAGACTCATCCAGAGACCACAACTCCAGAACTAGTCTCTAGGTCCTATTCAGTGAAATCTGTTAAGAAGCTTGCGGAGTCCAGGCAGAGGCATAGAGGTTCAAGCATACCTAGTGATACAACTCAAAGTGGAGGTGTCAAGGTGAAGGAACGGACTGTGTCCAACCGATCTCTTCCTCTTCCTGGTGATGAGACAGATTACTGCAGGCTGAGAAATTTTAGTATAACTTCTAAGGGAGTCGTCAACAGGGGTGACTCATTTCGATGCAAATCGAATCCACGTTTTGCTGATTCAGAGGAGAAGACCGTGAAAAGAAAAGACACCGTTGAAGATGCGTCACCCCTGAGGAACGAACAAAAGGAATTGTCAGTACCAAAGAAATCGTATCGAGTTCTTCTCGTGGGTGCATCAGGAGTAGGGAAATCTTCTATGTGGAAACAGTTTCTAACGTCAGAATATATTTGCGCTGATGAGGTTTCTAGCGGTAAGTGTCATGCTTACCTTATTTAACGCAATTCTGATGCAATTCTAACTTATTTTAGGAAACTCAGACTCAACTTTCAATTTTATTTCTTTTAATATTATAGAGCAAAAAGTATGTAATAAACATGATCTTTTTGATAACTGCCGATAATAATGGTCAATTGTTATGTTTTTGCTATCAGTAATATCTAGTTTTTCTGAATATAAGTTTACCAAAGAAGACATGCGAGTGATTAAGTCTTATTTTGTAATGATTGAGGCTATAGAATTAGATGATAAAAATTAATAAAGTTTTAAAATAAAGTAATGAGTAAACAATATGAATTGGTTAATAAAATATTTTTGTCATTAATATTTGTGATTTACTTCAATCTAAATTAAATTGCTAATGTTTTTTTAACTGTAATTTTCGATTTAATTTTAAAAGTAGTGAAATTAATTAAAAAAATTTTGTTGACAGCGACGTAATTTTAAAGAATACAAATGTTAAATAATAACATGCAAGAAATATTAACCGAAAATCAATTCAATATTTATATTTGAAGAAATTAAATTAAATTTATTATGCCTAATAGCATATTTTATGTCCTCGACGCAATGAAGATAGTTACTTTCAACTAGTAAAGTATTAATTTCTGGTGCTTATAAGATTGTTTGAATATTTTAAATAATTATTAATAGCTAATAGTAGTGGATTATTAAATATTTTTGACGATTATTTTACTCACATTCTTCAGTAGATCAGTAACACTAAAAATTGTGATCTAAATTAATTATTTTAATTAGTTAAGTATAACTTATATCACGAGAAGTTCGGATTATTCGTAAGTTATAAATAACTTATAGTTCAAATAACTTGTAGAATCTAACGGCCAAATAAATGGAATCCACTTCAAGGCAATAAATTTAATTTATGTATGTAACCAAGTTAAAGGATGTTGTAAACTAAAAGGAAGAAATATGAAAAAGGAAGATATGAAACAGGAAGTAAAAGCGCAAATCTCTGTCTTCGGACTCGTTTTCTTTTTTTTCTTTTTTTAAAAAAAAGGTAAATCGCTTAAGTAGTAACTTTAATACCGAATAAACTTGATTAATTAATGTACTTTATGAATATATGAAAATAAAATAAAGTATCAGTACCTCTTAATTCTATTAATTCTTTGCAATTACTTGAAAAAACTTTTAAACTTAAAATCAAATTACTTTAAACATAAGATGCTTGTTTCAAGTCGCTCATACGTTCAAGACTTTAAATTTTTAATTCAAATAGCGTTGTATATAATTTATTTACATCACACTAATGATTTTTTTTTAATATTTAGATCAAGAAGTAGACAGAGCAGTAACAGTTATTCTAAATACAGAAGAATCTCAGATGGAATTTGATAAGCAAACGTTTCATGAAGGAACTGTAAGTATTAAATATATATATTATGATATTAAAAAAAACTATATTAAGTGCATATTATATTTATAATTTATAAAATTTCTATCATATTAAATGCATATTATATTTCGATAGTTAAGAAAATTTCAAAATAGAATAAAAACATTTTACTAACAACATATGCTATAAATATATTTTCAAAAATTTTTAATTAAAATGGATGATTAGGAGCTCTATTAACGAATACAATATTGAACTATAAATTGTTAAAGATGTAAATAAATCCTATGATTTTCAAGATTATTATTTATTTCAATATTATTAGTTTTAATTTATAATAAAAGATTTGTAAGTAAAAAGGATATTTCATAAATTAAAAAGTAATTAAATTTGATTTAATCTTAAGTTGCATTAAATTTTTTTAATCATCTATAAAACTAAACTTTTCCAAAAGTCTTTTTCCTTTTTTCATCATATGAAAAAATTAATTAAACATTTTATAAGAAAAATATAAAAGAACATAATCATACAAATTAACAAGAAAATTATTTTTAAGAAAAATTTAAAAAACATAAATCTTCATAAAAAGTTATAAAAAATTATTATTAAAATTGTAAATTATATAAAATAAANTTTTTCCTTTTTTCATCATATGAAAAAATTAATTAAACATTTTATAAGAAAAATATAAAAGAACATAAAAATCATACAAATTAACAAGAAAATTTTTAAGAAAAATTTAAAAAACATAAATCTTCATAAAAAGTTATAAAAAAATTATAATTAAAATTGTATATTATATAAAATAAAATTAAAATTACATTATAATTAAAATTATATTTAACTATATCAAGTAAAATTATAAATTTTAAAAATAAAATTTATAAGAAAAGTTCATAGGTAAAAATTTATAATAAAAAATGTGTAGATATTATTTTCTCATCTAAAAAATTATTTATTTATTATTTTTTCAGACTGTATTTCCTAAATCTGAAAATTCTGAAACTGACGCTTACGTGATAGTCTACTCAGTGACGGACAGGAAAAGTTACTCACTAGCGAGACACATCCTTTGCCTTATGGAGAAATGTATTGATACAAAAGCAGTAATTCTGTGTGGAAATAAAACGGATCTTGCACGTTTGAGAGTAGTTTCTACTGATGGTGAGTACATTTAAAACAATTAACTCAAACAATTCAAACATTTGAACATTCGAACACGAAAGTTAAAGTGAAATATTATACCAAAATTGGACATAGAATTTGAGTTGAAAAGCTTGTGAATATAAAAAACGCTTACAGATGAAGTTTGTTTAGATAAAAAGTGTATTAATTTCCTTTTTTACATTTAATTTCTTGAAAACGAGATAAAAATACATTAGTTTAGCTTTAAATTAGTTTCAATTATCAATATGTTTATTATTTATATTAATAAAAAACTATCTATATTCATTCTTAAAATATTTTATTCTTAATTTCAGATTTTTTATTATTTTTTTCTGAAGAGCGTTTTAGTGAATGTTCATACAGATACCCCCAAAAAATACTTTTTAGAAAGGGAAATATTTTTAATAATTTCATAATCTTGAAATTGTGAATATTTTTTAAGAATAATTCGAAATAAATAAAATATTTTAATTAGATGTTTTTTACAATTTTCTCTTAGCGTAACGATAAAATATAGAACTCTTGTATATTATTAAATTCAATAACTTGATTCGATATTTAGTTTTAATTATGAATATGATTATTATTTGGTTTAATAAAATAATTGCCTTTATTCATCCTTAAAATATTCTGTACTAAATTTTAGATTTCTTTTTGATTTTTTCATGAATTGCCTTTTAGTGAATGTTCACAAAGAAGTCCAGAAAAAATTTAAAAAGAGGGACATTTTAAATAAATTTGTATCCTTAAAAAAAGGAAACATTTTATGAATAACTCAAAACAAATAAAACCCTTAAGTAGATGTTTTTTACAATGTTCTTTTAATGATAACACAAGATGCAGAAATCTTGTATATAATAAAGTCAAATATTTTTATTCGAAATTTAGTTTTAAATTAGTTTTAATTGTTAGTATAATTGCTATTTGGATTGATAAAGATTACTTGTATTTATTAAGATATTCTATACTATATTTCAGATTTTCGTGTCGTTAAAAAATTCGATTTATGTATCTTGTAGTAAAAAATCTTGTAGTAAAAAATTCGAATATTTTGATCATAATTGAATATGTTTTATTTTCAATGAAGTTAAATTTCTTATTATTTGCTTTTTCAAACTATTTGAAACTATTATTTAAACTTTGTTTATATTAGAATATTTTTTGAAAAACTTTTTATTAGCTTAATAAATCTAACTTTTAAGTTAGATATGTCTTGTGTATAAGCCTAATAATAAAAGAAAATCCTGTCAGATTGAGTAATTCTTCACGCATTTACTGATTAGTCTAAAAACATTTAGGCTAATTGTAATAAATCTAAAATATATCAGACTTCCAATCAGTCTGGAAAAATAAAAAATACAGGTTACATTAGAAAAAAGTCGAATTTTTCGAATTAACCTAAGCAGATCTATTTCATAAGCTAGCTTTTTATGATTTTTTTAAAGAATATTCATATATATTTACAGAAGGAAAGTCGCTGGCAAAAGATCGTGGGTGCAAATTTATAGAGATATCTGTTGTTATCAATCATCAAGTTGATGAACTCCTAGTTGGAACACTATCTCAAATCCGCATCAAGGCCAAGGTGGCGGAAAAACTAAAAAAGAAACGAGATTCCCAATCTGGCAACAGGAGATCTTCCATTTATTCCGGTTCTAAGGCATCAGGAGTGTTGAAAAAAATTTTGAGAAAAGCGTGTATGAAATCTAAGTCGTGTGACAATTTGCATGTTCTCTAAAAATCTAGAGTTTCTTAAAAGTAAATATAGTGCCTTCATGAATGTGTGAAATTGTAAATGTATGCTTGGTTCAATTGTTGTTTACTGCACGATGAGTTCATAAAGTGATGAGTGTGATTATAAGTTAGAGTAAAATTTGTATTATTCCTAATTGAGTTGTAATCGAAGAAAAAGAATTCGTATCTAAAAAAAAAGGATTGCAATTTCAATTGCTGTGCATTGTTTACTGCAATTTTAAACTTTTCAGTGTAAATTGATTTAAAAACACACTGAATATATTAAAAAAAGAGTGAGTGGTAGCATTTCCCTTTTGATTTTTTAACTGAATATTTTACTTTTAAACCGAAACTTCTTATAATCACTTTAACCCTTTGACGCAGATGGGACAATGGTGTCTCCTATATATACAAATATATTTTTGACACTAATTTCAAGAAAAAGTATATTTTGGTATTTTTAATTATTTAAAGCAGTCTTATAATTACTAAAAAAAGCTGTTATATTATCGGAATTATATTTTCATTAAAATATGAAATCCAAAAACAAAGTAAGTTTGAAATAATTTTTTTCATTCATATTCTAAAATTTATCTATAATTGACTGAAATGAAATTTATCTATAATGAATTGAAAATTAATCATAAATAACTCGTTTCTATTAGAGCTAAATAATAGTGCTAATAAGTGCTAATTAGTGCTAATAAGTGCAAATTTGAAAATTTATTGCTTGGAAGTGAGCCGTGTTTGGAACATTTTCCTTTTAAAGTAGAAAGAGACATCGGTGTTTCTTGCTGTATTTCGCAACCATAACTTACTAAAATGCTATATATAATATTTTTTTCACTTAATTTATCCTAAATTAATAGAAAATAATGAAAAAAATTACCAAAAATATGTTCAATAAAAATTCTGCGTGAAAGGATTAAATCACAAATGCGTAAATAAACATAAAATTTATTATAATTTATCAAGAATTCTTTTTTTTTTAAAAAATTTGATTGTATCTATTTATAAGTGTCATAGTACCAAAGATATCTTTTTGAAATGCAATATTAATTAATCATAGCTGCACTATCAAACATTTGATGATATAGTTCTATTGAATATTAAGGACACGTTTTCATGAATTATAGATTTCTTAGATTGTTTCCATTTACATTAATTGTTTAATAAGTTTTAACATATAATAGTATGAAATTAACAATTTTTTTAAAGAAAAATAATTTTCTAAAAATAATGTTTTCGATACTTTTATGATGTAGAATATTTGCAGGTATATTTAAAATACCCATTGATACTAACATCTTTACAACATCTAACATCTTTAGTCGAAAAAAGACCCTTACTATATTACTGTCAACAAATTCATGAATATTTTATTGGAAAATATAATTTTATTTCATTTTACTATTAATTATATAATTATAGTATTTTAAATTTAAAAAAACCGACTGAGATTTCTATTTCCTACTTAAAGTTTTGTAGCACATAGTCTAATTAAATAGAGATAGGTGTTTTAATGTTTCAAAGTAAAAAAAAATTCCAACGAACATTACAAAAAATATTTGTATAAATAAGTATGATCCTTTAGAAATTTTTCAATAACTCCGAAATAAAATTTTCATACTAAAATTCTTTGTAAGACTTTTTAAATCTACAGAATGTCTATTGAATAGCTTAATAGGTGCTAATATTAATGATTTTAAAGGACCAAAGTAAAGTATAGCCTTCAGAATGCCTTTATCTTATACTTGAATATCGAAACCAAGTGCTTAATCTTAACAAAGTGCTTAATTGTTGGGGAAAATTAAGTAGATGTAAAGACATATGAACTAAGGGTTTAAGTAGCTTAAGTTGTTTAAAATATATTTGAAGTAAAGTTCTGAGTAGTTCAAGTTGTTTGCGATTCATACGAATTAAAGTTTGAACTTGTTTAAACGATATTTGAGGTAGGTTAAGTTTCTAAGAACTTATATGAAAGACTGGTTTAAATTGTTTAAAACAGATATGGAGTGAAAATTTAAGTTGCTTATGTTTCTTAAGAGATATTTAAAGTGAAGTTTTTAAGATGTAAGTGAAGTAAAAAAGAATTTAAGTTATTAAGTCATTATTCTCTAAAATAGTATACTGTAAGCAAAACAATGTCAACTTGTATGATTTTCTGTTTAATCATATACTTTTTTAGAAATGCATTTTTCTAAGAATTGTATTGATAATATAATTTTTTTAAAAGGAAAAAAGTGGAATTTTTAATTGAACTATGAATATAATTAATGCTTTATAATGAAAAGAATAGTCTTTATTGAATGATATACTTTTCAATTAAGCAAACAGCAACTGCAATTTAAAGGTTTTTGAATGACGGGGAAATGAAGCAATAAACCTGTCAAATAAATAAAATATCTATAATTTAGATTTAGCATGACCAAATAGATTGAAATTGTGAAACTTTACTACTATAAGTGCATATTACAATACAAAATGAGATGTAAAAATTAATGTTAATTTAGCCATTTCGAACAAGTTTTCAACAATTAGATTTTAACAAATGTAATAAGCTTGTGTGACATTATAGTGAATATATTGTAAACTCTTTTATGTTAGAAAGGGTGTCTTTCTAAACTGAAACTGTATGAAGTCCTCCAATCCCTCCAATTTGAAATTTATTGCGGTACTCTTTTTTGGTCGACTTTATGAATGAAAAATTAATACTATTGGAAGTCACCTCTTACAGATTCAATTTACAAAGACATCAATATAAAATTATTTTGACTTATTATGATAAAAACAGAACTTATGTAACGTGTTTTTTCGATTTGTGCCAATGATGTTTTTTAAATTTAATTTTGTGATGTATCGTGAATTTTGTGATTCATCTGTTGATCAGATAACCACCTTATAATTATATATATATAAGTGCGATGTACGATCCATCAAATGTAAATAGTATTTTAATAAGTCACAGATGTGTAAATAAACATAGAATTTATTAGAATTTATCATTTGTATGATTTTGAAAAATAAAAAACAATGTATAACTACTCCTCCTTTTTTTTATTAAACAGATTATTTAGTTTTTTTAAAAAATTTAAAAAGCGATAACAACAATTAAGGGGAAGCAAAAGTAGTGGTTGAAAAATATTTTGTCATTAGTCTAATCCAACGTAATATTTACAATGCTTCAGCAAGTTGAGAGTTTAAGCTTGAAATTTGTTGAGAGTTTACAGCTTAATATGTACAGCATTTTTATTTTCAATAAAATTAAAAATTAAAATTATCTTAATTAAGACAGCATTTTCTCTTGGAACAATTAGAATTAAGTTCCTTCTTTATTTCAATTTCGTGATGAATAATAGAATTACTTCAATAAATGAATAAACATATATTCCATTACATATCTAAAAAATTTGATTTTAAAGATATGAGATTGTGAACATTTATATATTATAGTTTTTTTTTAAAAACAAATTTTCAGTTTAATACGAGTAAATAGATGTTACGTCTTAATACAGCAACAAAACATGTGTAAAACATGTAATTGATATGAAATGTGTTAACATATAAGAAAAATTGTAATTAAATTCATGATTAAACCGTTAAGTTAGTTTTTATCTATTGCAGAACTTACAAACTATCATAGTACTGCAATTTATTACTCAAAATGGGTTGCAATATAACAAACTAAAATGAGAAAAAAAAGATACGCAGGAAATTCTGAAATCAAAACCTAATAGAATAATTTCCTCAGAAAATCTCTTTCTTCTCCTCACTTAAAGAACTAAATACTTTTAATAATTGAGCTAAAAATTATTCTATAAGTATGATATAGGACGTTCTAAATTGGACTGATGGTTTCCAAAAAATTTATAACATGGAAACGTCTTAATTAAAAAATAATAATGATCTAAGTTTTTTGTTAAAGGCATACAGTTTTCATCCTCAGAGTTCATATTTTTAGTTCAAAAAGTTTTCAAAAGATGAGTTCAAATCTTTAAAACAATCGTAAAAAATTAGTGGATGAAATTTATAATATACTAAGTGCAAAAATTTCGAAATCGGAGAAAAAAGAACTGAATTTTCATGCATCAAAATTAAATGGAATGACCGGGAAAAAAATGTTCTACTTGAACTATCGGAAAATGTTTGAACAAAAATCTATGTACTTTAGAAAAAATAATATATGCCTTGTGAAAAGGATTTTTTGCAAAAATCATTGGCATTAATCTTAACTATTTTCTTGTCATAAATTTCTGAAAAATCACCAAGATACCTTACAAGTAAGCCTTAGTATTTACCAAATTTATAACTATTGTGATCATTTCTTTGATGTTAGGCAGCTGAAAAATTGGCTTAACTTGGATAAAGTAAATCTCATTATTAATTCAGTCATTATATCAGTAGAATTGCTTAATATTTTTACACGAATGTTTATTTTCTTTTAAAGACAGTTGAATATATTAGATACTAATAGNTTTTAAAAAACTTTATTTGTGAAAACCTTCAGCGTGGCGGACAGCTGGCCGCCTTAGGCGGCTAGTAATATAATAAGTGCAAAGATTTCGAAATCGGAGAAAAAAGAACTGAATTTTCATGCATCAAAATGAAATGGAATGACCGGGAAAACTTGAACTATCGGAAAATGTTTGAACAAAAATCTATGTACTTTAGAAGAAATAATATATGCCTTGTGAAAAGGATTTTTTGCAAAAATCATTGGCATTAATCTTAACTATTTTCTTGTCATAAATTTCTGAAAAATCACCAAGATACCTTACAAGTAAACTCTAGTATTTATCAAATTTTTAATTATTGTGATCATTTCTTCGATGTTAGGCAGCTGAAAAATTGGCTTAACTTGGGTAAAGTAAATCTCATTATTAATTCTGTTATTATATCAGTAGAATTGCTTATTACTTTTACACGAATGTTCGTTTTCTTTTAAAGACAGTTGAATATATTAGATACTAATAGAATTTTATGTAATTAATATGGGATAAAAAATAAATCAAAAATAAATAGCAAAAAGATTCCCTGATTAAATTAATCACTGTTCCTATAATCGGATTATAATATATTTTTTACTTCATTTTTTAAGTTATTCAAAATAATTTAATAAAATAATTATTAAAAACCGTATTTCTCATTAAATTAATTTTATCAAGCAATTTTCACTCAACAAATTCAATGAAATTTTTTAGTCTGAAAGTAAAAAGAGAGCTTGAAACCAATAACTCTAAAAATGTTCAAGAAAGAATAGAGTTAAAACAGAAACTCGAACAAAAATACTAAACATTTATTAA